AGTTGAAGGCCCAGGACTGAAGAGATCATGCAAAGAAGTTGAGTTTGGCACCATGAAGAGAGCCTGTGAGAAGCTATTGGTGAAAGTGCAGCCCAGTTGCAACAGAAGACCCCAGAATTTGAGATGCCAGTATCATGGGATGACCACCAAGAACAGCAGCAGTGGTGGAGTGGAGCCAGCTGGAGCCTAGAAGACAAGTTGTGTGTGTGGCGGAGGGCAGAGCTGGAGAAATGACCCAAGAACCTTGGAGAGTTTAGAAGATTATGAGTGGATCCCAGTCATTGATTGGTTGGAATTTTGGTTTGATTTGGTTTGATTGTGACTGTGCCCTGATTATTCCCTCTCAAAGTAAGCAAGTATCTTACTGGAGCCTGTAGTTGAGAGATTTTGATTTTTAAAAGACTTTATTTGGATTTTAAAAAAGATTGTCTTTATTAAGGGGACCGAAATTCTAATGTTTGAATTTGTAAAGACTGGGCTTTTAAAGGTATTTCTGTTTTTAATGTGAGATCTTGGGGACGAATAAGAAAGGAAGGATTGTGGCTTAATAGAGATGTGTTTGTCAAGTTGACGAGGGGTCAGCTGTTCTGGCTAGTTTTGTGTGTCAACTTGACACAAGCTAGAGTCATCGGAGAAGAAGCCTCAGTTGAGGAAATGCTTCTATGAGATCCAGTTGTAAGAAAGGCATTTTCTCATTTAGTGATCAATGGGGGAGGGCCCAGCCCATTATGGGTGGGGCCATCCCTGGGCTGGCCCTGGGTTCTATAAGAAAGCAGGCTGAGCAAGCAGAGGAAGCAAGCCAATAAGTGGCATCCCCATGGCCTCTGCATCGGCTCCTGCCTCCAGGTTCCAGCCCGCTCGACTTCCTCCAGTGATGAACTAAGACCTGGAAGTTTAAGCCAAATGAACCCTTTCCTCCCCAACTTGCTTTTTGGTCATGGTGTTTTGACTCGGCAATTGGAACCCTAACTAAAATACCTTCTGAAACTGTAACCAAGACCCCAATCAAATGTTTTCTATTATAATTTGTGATGGCCACGGTGTTTCGTTACACAATAGAAACCAAACTAAAACACACACTAACAGGCCACAAAATGATGTGCAGTCACTATGCAGCCTCTGATGAGTTGGAGTGATTTTTTTTTTTTGGCATTTCTTTTTTGTTTTGTTTTTAATTGAGAGGCATAGTGACTTACTTTATTTTTATTTTCTTATTTTGATGTGTATGGGTGTTTTGCCTGCACGTATGTTTGTACTCCATGTGTGTGCCTGGTACCCATGGAGGCCAGAGAAAGCATCAAATTCCCTGGGACTGGAGTTACAGACAGCTGGGAGCAGGGAATTGAATCTGTAGCCTCTAGAAGATCGGCCAGTGCTACTAACTACTGAGTTATCACTCCGGTCCTCTTTCTTTCTTTTTTTTTTTTTTTTTTTTTTTTTTTTTTTGAGACAGGGTTAAACAGCCATAGCTCTTCTGGAACTCTCTGTAAACCAGGCTGGCCTCCAATTCATAGTGATCTGCCTGCCTCCGCCATTATTCTCGAGTGCTGGGATTAAAGGCCTAGACCACCACGCTCAGCTTCATTTCTTATTTTTACTTTAATATTTTTATCAGTTGAAAGTTTCATACATTCATACACTATACATTGGCCATGCTTACCTACTACTACGTCACTCCCACTCTCCCTAGTTTGCCTCTGTCTGTCTCCCAACTTCATGTCATCTTTTTTCTTTTCTTTTTTTTTTTAAGATTTATTTATTATGTACACAGTTTTCTGTCCGAATGTATCCCTGAAGGCCAGAAGAGGGCACCAGATCTCATTACAGATGGTTGTGAGCCACCATGTGGTTGCTGGGAATTGAACTCAGGACCTCTGGAAGAGCAGACAGTGCTCTTAACCTCTGAGCCATCTCTCAGCCCCTTTTTTCTTTTTCTTTTTTTTTTTTTTTTAAGCCATCATTAGTAATCAGAGTCCAATTAGTCCTGCACATATGGGCTTGGGACCATCTACTCTGGCATGTGAACCTGCCAGTGGCTGGGTAATTCTTCAGACTATCTTCAGAGGAAGGGTACCTCAAATGTGCTCTCAAATTTCTTTTCAGAAGAAGTTAAACTAATTCCTAAAGCTAATCCTTAGCATTTGCTTGGAAGGACACCTGCCAGGAGAGTGCCGGCATGGATACCACCAGTGCATATTATCATCAGAAAAAAACTACACTGATTTCCTTATTTCTGCTCCTATGTTAGTTATATTCTCAAAATTCTCTTACTTAACTTTGGACATGTTATATTTGTTGTAATGATGTGTCCCCTCCCCATTATTTTCCTTTTTGTAGCTTTGTGCTAGTGTTTGCTGGAGGAAGAGATTAGGCTTAGAAACAGCTGTGTTACAGGAACAATCCAGAGGCTTAAATTGGATGAAGGTTTCTCTCTCTTTCACATAAGGTTTAAGAGTAGGCAGTGCAGGACTGGCCTCCACCCACTCCACAGAGCAGGGAGAGACTAGGCTTCTCTTGGTCTCTCCCCATCCCACCCTAGCCCCATGAGGCCTCATTCCCATGTCTATGGTAGCAGCTAGGTCCCCAGCCATCACCTTCAGAGAAACAAAAGGGAAAATGAAGATCCATCTATCCTCTTTTTGCATCATATTGGCCAAAATTCAGACATGTGACCTCACCCAGCCACAAGGGAGTCTGGACAATGAGCCAGCTAAAAATCTGGACTAATGTAAGAATGATTAGCATGGAGTGGCCAACTCTGTCTTCCACAGACAAGGGTGAAAACTGTTGAATACGACCCACTCATCTGAGAGCAATCATGATGTTTATGATGATGATGAGCTAATAATCTGGGCTAAATCATTACTGCAGTCCACTAGATAGTGTTCATGGGAGGCCACTGGTTCAGCTTCAGCTCCTGTGATGAATCTGACTTCAGTTAACTGCAAGCGGCTCTGAAACCAATTACCCAACTAAGCTGGAACTAATTAAGCGGTCTCTGTGCACACTTGTTTCCTATAAGCACTGTCAGATCGTATTATTCCTGGGAGTTGTCTGACACTGCCTTGGACTGCCCAGTTCACAAATCACTTTTGTTTTGTGTTGCTTTGTTCTGTGTTGTTTATAATCGCTTGAATAAACGAGAATTTAATCAGGTTAAGATTTCTCCTTTTGACAAGTAGGTGTGGGCACTGTTCCTGATACTTGTTATGTGGTACTTGAACCTCCAAGTAGATATGATCATCTTCATTCCACAGAGGAAGAAACTGGGGCACAGAGGGATCTGCCCAAGTTAGCCCAACTTCACAGATATGGCATATAGGTTTCAACGCTGGCAGCTAGCTCTGGAACCCCAGGGCTCAACACAACTAGACATAGAGAGGTCTCTAACTAACAGTCACACACCATGTCAAGGAGGCCCAGTGGGGTCTGTCCTGGGTCTAAAAGAGGATCTAAGCCAGAGATTCCTCTTTACTCTGGACATCTCACGTGCTTACCTGTTTAATTTGTGTCTTTCCAGGCATAAGTGATATTTGTGGTTCATTGTCCAAAACACGTTGGCCATTCCAGGGGCTGATTTTGCATCTCCGGCAGCCAACACATTGTATAACACATAGTAGGTGCTCAAAAAACTTGTCCTTTGTGAGTGTTTTGTATGGGCTTTGTGATGGGAGCTGAGTGTGGAGAAATGGGAGATAGGAACTTTGCCCACTAGCACTCATGGGAAGAAGAAAGACTGGTGGGTACAAGGAATAGCCCAGGCAAAGGCCCAGGAACAGGCTAGGGAGAAGGCTGGCTAGCTAGACACAGTTTAAGAGTCTCAAGCAGCAAGGAACATGGTCTTGAAGGGAGGCTGAGACAGACTGATAATTCCCTTCAAGTCCCAGGGGGAAATGTTGGCCTCGGCCTGGAGGCCATGGAGAGGCACAGGAAGCTTAACCAAGAGAACACAGACCAGGCACCTGGAACAACTCTTCCAGAGGATGGAAGGAGAGAAAAACAAAAGCAGGAGGGGCTGGGTGATAAGGATGGCAGGAGGGACACAGATACCAGGCATGCTGGGGACAAGGGAAGCAGCAGTGGGCTCAGTCAAGACAGAAAAGGAGAAACTGGTTGAGCTATGAGAGCAGATGGGGTTGGAAGGGAGGAGGGGCAGGACAAGGAGAAACAAAGGCTGTCCAGATGGACCAGGGAACTGTGGGAGAAAGAAGGGTGGGGGTATAGACACCCAGCAGGGGAGGGGGCCAGGAAGGAGAGGGCCCTGGCTCCAGTCGAGGCAGACAGAACTGTTGGCCGCCTGTAACTTTGTGCTCATGACTCAGAAATGTCCCAGGCTTGCCAAAAGACTGCCTGACCCCTGCTGGCCCTGTCTCCTACCAGGCCAGGAGGCTCCCACATCAGGAGCTTTGGGGCTGCCTACCCTTCCTAGCCTTCCCAAGTAGGGACCCCTCTCTTGGGCCTGTGGACATCTCCACCCCATACCCTCCCCAAATGGCTGATTAAACAGACTAGACAGGAATGGGAGAGAAGCAGACATCTGCAGAGGGCCTGTCAGAAAGCAGAGGGTGGGTAGAGGCCAGCTGGGGTTGCCAGGGGGCCCACAGTCCAGCAGGGAGGGAGGTGGAATGGGGTTCAGGGAGCAGGCAGAGCT